AGCAAAAGGGTTCAGGACGATTGTCATATCACTCAGAGAGAAATTTCAAGCATAATCAACATTTCACAAGAATGTGTGGGTCACATTATTGCGTTGTTTGGCTATCGGAATATCTGTGTACGATGGGTACCCAGGATGCTAATACCGGAAATGAAAGCGCACAGACTTGAAACTTCAGACACTGGATCTCACTACCATACAACATCCTCCATACAGTCCAGATTTAGCACCGTCTGACTTCCATCTTGTATTGTCGAAGGCTTTCATGGCCGGAATCACTGGGTTGTTGTAGGTTTTTTCGGGCTGTATGGCCATGGTCTAGAGGCATTCTCTCCTGACGTTTCGCCTGCATCTATGGCAAGCATCCTCAGAGGTAGTGAGGTCTGTTGGAACTAGGAAAAAGGGTTTATATATCTGTGGAATGACTAGGGTGAGACAAAGGACTCTTGTCTGCTGGAGCTAGGTGTGAATGTTGAAACACCATGGATGACAGCTGGAAGTTTGTCTGCCTCACATGATGGACTCCATGATACTTCTGTTTTAGAAGTGTGTAGAAATGAAGTGGGGGGGGGGGGACTTGTGTGATGTAGTCCTAAATCTACTCACTAGGAAGCCTGCAGCAGAGGTGGGTGTAAGAGAAAGCCAGTGTAACTTAATTTTGTTCTTGCCATTGTGGTGCTTAATTGCTCTCTTCTTTCATAGCCACTGATCAGCCGCAACTACAAAGGAGATGTGAGCATGTCGGAAATCGACTACTTCATGCCACTTCTGATGCAGAAGGAGGAGGAAAGTGCCTTGACGCCGCTTCTGTCCCGAGGAAAGATTCACTTCCTTTGGATCAAGCATAGCAACCTCTACTGTATCCTTTCAGTGCCCAAGAGAATAAGAATGTGGGATTTATCTTCCATTTGTAGCCAAGTAAATACAGAGGCGGCTCAACCCATTACGCAAAGTAAGCATTTGCAGTATAGCTGATTTTGCTCAGGGGCGCTCTTGAGGCGCTCTTGGGGAGGAAAATAGACCTTGACATATGCGAGTTGTTGTTACCGGGATGTATAGTTCACCTACAATCAAAGAGCATTCTGAACTCCACCAATGATGGAATTGAACCAAATATGGCACACAGAACTCCCACAACAAACAGAAAATATATATCAGTGATTGGTTGGGGGGGGGGGGACACCAAAATACTGTTTACTTACCGTTGAAAATTACCTAGGGCCGCCTCTGAGCAAATAACAAAGTGGGGCCATTTTTAGAACTTTGCTAATCAGTGTTTGCCCAGAGTTCACCCTTCTCTTGTGGCCCCTTCCACACAGCTGTATAAAATCCACGGAGCCCCCAGTGGCGCAGTGGGTTAAACCACTGAGCTGCTAAACTTGTTAAGCAAAAGGTTGCAATCCAGGAGTGGGGTGAGCTCCCGCTGTCAGCCCCAGCTTCTGCCAACCTAGCAGTTCGAAAACATGCAAATGTGAGTAGATTGATAGGTACTGCTCCAGTGGGAAGGTAATGGCGCTCCATGTAGTCATGCTGGCCACATGGCCTTGGAGATGTCTATGGACAACACTGGCTCTTTGGCTTAGAAATGGAGATGAGCATCACACCCCAGAGTCTGAATTTAATGTTAGGGGAAAACCTTTAACCTTAAACCTTAAGCTTAAAATCCACATTGAACCGGATTATATGGCAGTGTGGATTCAGATAAACCAGTTCAAAGCAGATACTGTGGATTATCTTCTTTGACATTGTGAGCTATATGACTGTGTGGAAGGGCCCTGTGTTTGTTTAAAATCCAGGAGTTTGACATGAACTTTCACATACTCAACACTGAACTAGTAACATTTGACTGTCTATCAGACAACTGTCTTACTTTGCTTGTCACAAAGGACAATGGGGACCATATTTAATCTCAATTCAAAGGACAGATCAGCAGAGTTATGCACGCTATCCTTTATCCACCCATATGCATCTGATGTTGGCTTGTAGTAAAAGCAATTCCTTATTGACACAAGAGGAATCAAGGCTGAATCTACACTGCCATATGATCCAGTTTCTGATCCTAGATTATCCTCTTTGACAGGGATCCTCAAACTACGGCCCGGGGACTGGATACGGCCCTCCCAGGTCATTTACCCGGCCCTCGCTCAGGATCAACCTAAGTCGGAAAGGACTTGAAAGCACACAACAACAACAATAATAACAACAACAACAATCCTATCTCATCAGCCAAAAGCAGGCCCACACTTCCCATTGAAATACTAATAAGTTTATATTTGTTAAAACTGTTTTTCATTTTAATTATTGTATTGTTTTAAAGTGTTTTTGCACTACAAATAAGATAGATGCAGTGTGCATAGGAATTCATTCATGCTTTTCTCCAATTATAATCCGGCCCTCCAACAGTTTGAGGGACTGTGACCTGGCCCTCTGTTTAAAAAGTTTGAGAGCCCCTGGTCTACCAGACAACTGTCTTCCTTGGCTTGTCACAAAGGACAATGGGGACCATAAATTTAATCTCAATTCAAAGGGCGGATTAGCAGAGTTATGCACGCTATCCTTTGTATGCATCTGATTGTAGAATTGCCTTGTAGAATTATTGGTGAAAGCATTTCCTTATTGACACAAGAGGAACAAAGGCTGAATCTACACTGTCATATAACCCAGATTATCTGCTTTGAACTGGATTATATGGCAATGTAGACTCATATAATCCAGTTCAAAGAAGATAAAATGGGATTACCATCTGGATTATATGGCAGTGTAGATCCAGCCTGAAAAATTCTGCTCCATTCGGTCCTATAGGAAACTGATGTTAAAATTTCATCTTAACTCAGGAAGTGCCTGTGCACGTGTGGTTCATTCTCTCTTGTTCTCTATCCCTCTCCTTCTCTCTTTCAGGCTGTGTGTATATACATTACTGTTTTCAGTGATTTATGACTGATTTGTTGATGTTTATGTGTTCAAAGCTG